GTCATAGATCATGAAAGTGGTGAACATTATCCTGGCTCAAACGTTTCAAATGAGTTTCATTTAACCTTTTACAATTTATTTGTTTCTTTTTAGTCTGCAGCATTTGCATTTCGAGAATGTTTCATTTTTAAATTCAAACTCTTCTAAATTGTGAAACGTAATATTTTGACTCCAAAAAAAAAATATTTTCCCTGTGACGGAGCTCATTAATACTACAAAAGTGCCCAAAATAAAAGTGCTTATAACACTGTGTGAAGCAAATAAATATCTGCCACATTGTTTTTAAAAATATATGTTGTTTATTGTGTGGGTGTAAATGTGCTTTGGTCAATTTCCATTATTATGTAAATGATATGCAAATGATATGCAAATTAGACCGCCACAGTGGTTTAAATTCCTGGGGAGAACACTGATATATTATGTACTCACCAGTGTTTCTGATATAATAGCCCCTGACGCAGACCATGTAAAAACTTCAATCTGTCCTGGTGTGTCAAATAATATATATCTAATAATGCAAATAGTGAGAAATACAATGTTAGTTTAAAAAGCTGGTTTTATTACAGCCATGTGACACCATGCTTGGCCCCTAAAAACAAAGTTCACATATGTTGAATTGCAAACTATAAGGTACTGACTTAACATGATGTTCATGGCGAAACTGAATTTCTAAGCATGTCTTCAGTTCGCACCAATTTATCACAATTCACCATTAAAAAACTAATGGTTGACCCATCAATGTCAGCAAAGTCAATCCCAGATGTAATTACAAGCAAATTTCAATGTGATTTGCATTGTAAGTGTGTCTCTGTATATCTACTGTAGCATTTCCCCTTTCAAGGTGAGTTTCAGTTGTTTTAATTAATAACTGACGATTCATCAAACCAATGTAGTTGTTTAACATCATAATTGGTAACAATATCCATGACATCCAGAGTTCATTTTATTATGATCTGTCCTGTACTCAGCGGCAACACTGGTTTAGATCATTCCCCAAATTTTTGACAAACAAAACACAG